CCTCCCTGTGTCAGAGGCTCTTCCCTGGCCTATGGAGAATAGATATAGTGGAAGAGGAGCCATGAGAACTCACTCAGAAAATATTCTTGCCAAATCTTCATTCTAACATCTAGACTGCAGCTTTCTTAAGGTGAAAAAACAGAAATTAGACATGGTTGTTTTTCATTTGATCCCCACAGTAAACAGAGGGTGTGATCAAGTTAAAGGCTGGTTACACGGAATGTATGTAGTCATCCCCCAACATCCTGGCCAGATGCTCGAAACGGCTGATAGCACCTAACCCTATATACACCATGTATTTTCCATCTGTCAACAAATTGACCAAGTGACTACCTGGTGGGTAGCAGAGACAGCATAGATATGCTGGACAAAGGGATGATTCACATCCTGGGCTGGACTGGGCAGGATGGCAGAAGATTTCATTGTGCTATTTGGAATGACACACAATTTAAAATGAATACATGATTTATTTCTGGAATTTTCCATTAATATTTTCAAACTGCTGTTGACCATGGGTAACTGAAATCAAGCAATGAGAAACTATAGATAAGGGGGGGACAACTCTATGTGTTGGGGAAACATATAACAGATGACATGGTGCAGTGGCTACAATTGGTTTTAAATTTTTTAATGCTCTATTTTTCAACTTTTACATTCTGGTATTTTGTGTTCCTGTGATTTCTCTATAGCCTTATTTTTGAAATATATTTTCAGAAAATCATCCGATAAATACAACCCTACTAAAGTTCAAATGACTTGCAGCACTTACACATTGTTCTTTCTACATGTAATTTGATTTGAAGCAAGAAAATTCTGAGACAAAGGAATAATTTTCCCTAAACTTCTCAGCATCAGTGAGACAGATAATGAGGTTTGGAATGAAGGGAGAAGTTGTCCTCAATCATATCATCTAGATCATTGCTTGTTTTGCATTATATTTGCTGATGTTTTTAGATTCCAGAATGAACTCGAATAGGTAATTTTAAAGAAAAAGTTGACCTGCATTGTAACATATTTTCATCAAATCACTGATATGACAAGAATACAAAAACCTGAAAATAACTTCAAATTTTCTAAAAGAATTGAAAGTGTTTATATATACGCAAATATATATGCTTTAAATATATAAACTTTTAATATGCTATACAAATATACATGTGTATATGCATCTTATGCAAATGTAGACTTTTAGCAAAAGTATAGATGTATATAAAATGTATGTATATATTACATATGTTATAGATACATACATGAATATATATGTATAATATATTGTATAGAATACATTGCATATACATGTATATATACAATACATAATACATTATACATGAGGTATATAAAATATATGTACACAAATATGTATTTACTAATACAAGTTATTGAAAGATATTGGACTTAAGAACATTAAAGTGAACATGTCATCCTAAATATCTGCCAAACAGGAGGATCTAGGGAACTGACAAACTTTTTTTGTGAAAGACGAAATAGTAATATTTTCACCTTTGAGAGCTGTGCAGTTTGTTGCAATTATTCAATCTTGCCGTTGTAGCACAAAAGCAGCTATGGAGAATACATATATGGTGAACTTTTATGTTCCAATAATACTTTATGGACTCTGACGTTTAAAGTACATATAAGTTTTGGTCCGACGAGGTGGCTCACACCTGTGATTCCAGCACTTTGGGAGTCTGAGGCTGGCAGATCACCTGAGCTCAAGAGTTCCAGAACAAAGCCTGGAGGTGTGCACCTGTGATCCCAGCTACTATGGGGGCTGAGGCACGAGAATCACTTGAATCCAGGAGGCAGAGGTTGCAGTGAACCAAGATTGCACCACTGCACTCCAGCCTGGACGACAGAGTGCATGAGACTTCATCTTAAAGTAAAATAATAAAATAAAATAAATAACATGTAATTATCATGTGTCATAAAAAGTTCATTTAATTTTTTTAACCATTTAAAAATATATGAACACCATTCTTACATTAAGAGACATAAAAACAAACAAAAATAAATAAAAAACAAAAAATGAAAAACAGAGGTGTCAGCCTGCTTAGCTCACAGACTGCAGTTTCCAGACCTCTGACCTAGACTTACCCACTCAGGATTACCATGGTAGACATTGGCTAGCTCTCAGGACTGGAGGTGACATAGAGTGAATTAGGCAGGCAAAACCATCAAACAAAGAGGCAGAAGAGCACAAGGTTAGGCATTTAGTCCATAATAAGAATGTGGACACTCTATTAGTATTTTGTACTAAAGAGAAACAAAGGCAAATTTTGATTTCTGCTAATATCCTGAGCTTGAAAATCCCTTCCATCTAATTTTTTTTTTTTTTTTGCATTCAGTATGTTTGAGTTTAGAATGCCAGTTTTATTTCCCTTGCTCTTGGTTCTGTTGGTGAAAAAAAGGGGAGAGGTGATGTCAATATTTTTATGACTTGTCAGTTTCCGTAGCTGAACTGTTAGCATCAAAATGGTGACAGCAACAATCACAGAATATAACTAATTCTAAATGGAAAGAATGCTGACTCAAAATCAGACAGTCGGCCGGGCGCGGTGGCTCAAGCCTGTAATCCCAGCACTTTGGGAGGTCGAGTGGGTGGATCACGAGGTCGAGAGATCTAGATCATCCTGGTCAACATAGTGAAACCCCGTCTCTACTAAAAATACAAAAAATTAGCTGGGCATGGTGGTGCGTGCCTGTAATCCCAGCTACTCAGGAGGCAGAGGCAGGAGAATTGCCTGAACCCAGGAGGCGGAGGTTGCGGTGAGCCGAGATCGCGCCATTGCACTCCAGCCTGGGTAACAAGAGCGAAACACCGTCTCAAACAACAACAATAACAAAATCAGACAGTCTATCTTCTGTCTGATTAAATATTTCATATTTATTATTAACCACCTGAGTGGAAAAAAAATCACTTAAACTTTCCGGAGATAAGTTTACTTGTTTGTAAAAGGAGGATCTTGAAGACTTTTCTACAAATAAATGAATGATAGTTCCCCTTATTACAAACATCACTTTACTGAGAAGACCTAAGGCAAAAATATACTTTTCCAGAAATGTAGGCAAATTATAGAAGAATATGTCGAAGTATGGAAAAGGCAGATTTAAGCAGTGATTTCACATTTGCATTTTTGTATTAATTTACTAAATTTTATGGTAACCAAGAATTCAGGATAAATTCAATTGCAGTACTTTTTCTTATGTTTATTTTTTCTGGAAGTATCCATACATTAAGTCAGTTAAAGGTCCTCTGGTTTACAATTCATTTCCTTGAAAGAAAAGAAAAGAAACACAATTTTATAAAATCTCTGAATTAAAACTTAAAACCTGCAGATGGTGCTATGATCCCATGTTGAAATTGTTTTGCTTTTAGTTTAAATACATAAGAGACAATGCAGTTCTTCGATTGAGTTACTTTTATTCAGAGGTAATAAAATTGAATTATTTCTTTTTATTTTAGTTGATTATTATTATAGTAGAAGCAATTGTTTTTTCTATTGGGAAAAGATATTATAGTTACTCTTTGTGAATGCTAAGTGCTTGCTTAGGCCAAATAATAATCAGCTTTACATCTTTTTTGTTTAAAATTTTTCTTCTTATCATTCAGCAGCGAGTTGTCTGTGACCCTCAATTAAATTGCTTTCCTGTTGCTGCTCTTAAATAAAATTGGTTCACTAAGAATTGGGTGATGAAGAGATAAGAATAAAAAATTCCATACGAGAACCACTTCAACCTCTAGTTCGTAATAATCAGGTAAAAAAAGATTTACTGGAATTAAGCCACAGGAACTCTGGCTTAAGTCAGAGCTGTCAGCTGGGAAACAAATTTCCAGACATTTTGAAATTTAATTCATTTAATTTTTCTGGTAACTGGATTAGAAAATATGATTAAGCATAGCAGGATATTCTTTTACTGGATCAGTCTGACTTTGAATGAAGCAAATAGATGCTAACATCTTCAAGTAGAAGAAAGAGTACTGTAAAGCTGTTCTTCCTTATGAAACTTACAAACAAATTATAAAAATAACACACATGCCACAAATTCTTTAAAATAAAAGGAAAAATAGCATTTCACTCTGTTGTGTAGGACATTTTTTCATGTGGCTTCATTTTCACATCTAACTCTGATTGAATGTGTGCTAGGCTACCTTGAGTTAAAAATCCACAAATAAAAGTGAAGTATTTATCAAAGTACTATATAAATGCTTTTCAACTAATTATTTGAACCCACCTGTCAAGTGATTGAATCAGAAGTAATCAAAACTAGTTTGAGTATGCGTGTGTGTTGGGGGTGAGGGTAAAAAACTAATTCTACATTATCCAAAGACTTATAAAAAATGATGATGAAAACCTTTAAAAAGAAAAGATAATTAGATTTCTTAGGTATACAGTCTGACAATTTATTTTTTGGATGATTTGACACAATGTATATAAAGGAGCATGGAGAATTATGCCATTTTGTACAAATATGAAATAGCACTACTACTGCTTTCTACAACAGTGCACATATCTTACTATGTTAGAGACTTTCTGAAATATTTATCCTGGGGTTAGTTTCAACAAAAAGGAAATGTAATACTAGAAAGGTGAAAAATTATCTCTAGGGCTTCTAAAATTAGAATAGATTTCAAGAAAGATTAAATCTGGATCTATATGAATAGCATAAAAATTAAAAAGGATTAAGAGAATTGATACTGTGTAATAAAGTATAATTGTACATTTATAAGCGTAATGCACATAAGTGTTTGTTGCTTTCCGCATTTGTTTCTGCACATGGAGTCTTCATTTTTCTGAGAGAATCCCAGTGGCCCTGGCTATAACACTACAATCATTTTATTTCACTACAATTAATTAAAGGTTGAAACATTTCACATTGAACTTGCTACTTTTTTTTGTTTCAAGAAAAGTAAATTTCCTCTTATCTTACATCTTGAAGTTAATCACTATAAACTTATGTAAATTAGACGTAATGACAATTAAGTAAGAACTTCAAGCTCTATTCATCCCATGGCCGTCATACTGTGACGTCTTTCAGAGGGCTTTGTGATTGCTCAGTCCTAAGTATAAGCCCTATAAAATGATGGGCTTGAAATGCTGGGCAGGGTAGAGTGAGAAGCACTAGCAGGCAATAACAGCCAACCCTTAGCCATTGCTAAGGGCAGAGAACTAGTGGAGCCTTCCTCTTTCTCCCAGGACTTCAGCACCTAAGACAGCTCCAAGACCAACCAGAACTCACAGCTCCGGGGGAACAGGACTGGGTGAGGTAAGTGAAAACTTTACCTTTCTTCTTTTTCCCTCCTGCCTCTGGAACTTTTCTCACAAAACACTGAATTTTTCTCTCTATTGAAAAGAATCTGATAGTGCTCTTCTTTTGCAACAGCAAAAAGACAAGTTTCTTAAGTCACCTAGTAAAGATAGAAATACTTCAATTTCTCTCATATAGATAGATTGTCTAACTTCTTTTGTTTGTAAGATGCTTTACCCTGCTTGCTCCATTACTGAATACCGATTTTTAAAAATAACACATTCAAGTAAAGTTTACTTGTATGGAGATTTTGACTGAAAAGTTCAGTGGGCACATTTGCTCTTTGAAATTTTCAACTTATTTTTAAAGTGCTGTGTTTTTTTTTCCTCTTTCACATGTTGGTTAAATGAACCTAAGATGCATTAATTTTTTTCTTTATCTAAATTCTGTAACTTTTATGGGCAGCAAGATAAACAGACCTTAAACTCCTAAGTTTTTAATCTAGAAATTAGAAATGAAATGTGTAAGTTGATTAAATGCAAGAAACACAAGTTTGCTTTTAATATATATCTTCCTTTTATGGAAAAATTTATTTCAATGACAATATATGATTCAGTAATATTTTGAGTATTAATATTCACTACTAATTGAGTGAAGATGTTCAAATCCAGGAGTAAGGAAATAAGTTTATATTAATATCTATAATTGAAAGAAGAAAAAGAAATATACATACAAAATCTTTTTTAAAATTATATTTATATATACACATTATATTTATAAATTTGTACACACATGAGCAGAAGAATTATTAAATAGATGATACCCCAGTCTTATATCAATCAGATACTGAAATCTTAAAGCAGAGGAAAATAAATATCTTGAAGCTGTTTCCTTAGTCAAAAAATACACCGAGCTTGGATGTTATATTCCTGTTATGAAAAGATTTTCCCCAGGTTTATTTTCAGCACTATAGAAGTATGGCATTTATTAGATACTGGGGCCAACCATGGTGCCAGACAGCAGGTGAAAGGGATTCTAATTTTTATTCAAGCACCTGTCACTAAGAGAAATATTGATTTTCGAAAGTTTCATCTTGCAATTTAACTCTTTCTACAAGATGAAAATTATTCTTTACAAACTCTGCAAGAGCCATTGAAAATTACTGCTAGACACTCAGAATTACCTTGCGCTGGTGACATCTTTGGTTGGAATAGCTGAAGTGATTCTCTCTCTTTAGAGGCACAGAAATGGACACCAGAAATAAGGCCCAGCTCCTGGTGCTCCTGACCCTTCTGAGTGTGCTCTTCTCACAGACGTCGGCATGGCCTCTTTACAGGGTCCCTTCTGCTCTGAGGTAAGTTCCCTTTCCATTCAGACAGCTGAACACTCCTTCATCTAAATGGGAATTTCCTATACACTATGTTGGACAACTAAACAGTATAAATTATACATTATTTATTTAAATTTTTGGTAGATGTGTTGAGTGAGTGTTTTTTGTCAATATCAGGTCATTCTGATTTCTGCAATTCACCTTCAGGGCATGAGAAACCCTGTCAGTGATTAGTTTTATGGGCTGGGTGGATCACATTCCCAAACATGGTGAAAGGAGGCTTTGACTTTGTTTTCATTCAAAACCAGCTTTAGATAAGTCATAAGCTTTTATCCATTGTTATCTCAAGTCAGTTTAATTTCTGGCAGAAAAAAGAGCTGTTTAATTGCCAATCATATTTTAGTTCATTTTCAAGATTAATCAGTAAATAGTCATAAGATTCGTACTTAGTTAATCCTGTATAAAGTCATGTTGCACAGAAATCTATCTAGATAGAGTCAATTTGCCAATATTAAATGTGGGGTAATTGATCTATTGAGATACACTTCTCCAATGGGTAAATTTTGATGTACTTTGTTTGAACCATACACCTTTAGTTTTATTGTTCTATATGTTATATTATATATCAAATCTATAAAGTAAAGCACAACTCACATTTAAAACTTTATTACTTTTTTATGCTGAAAGAGTAAACAGTAAATGAAAACTACAATAGCTTAAATTTTCCTTTCAGTTTATGTGCACCACCACATCTAAAGGCAAAAATAATAATTGGATTTTTGTTGTTGTTGATGATTTGCTCATTCCTGATTTTTTGCTTAAGGCAGACTTATGTTCAATAGAAAGAATAATCTTTAGCTATTAGTGTTCTCTGTGAAATCTGTTTAAATCCAGCTCCTATGTTGCTTTGACAACTAAATAAAATGGTTCTATCTGAATAGTTCTATCACAACAGATGAACAATCACAAGAATGCTGAAATTTGTGTTGATTGCTAAGCTTAGGACCCACAAAGGACTACTTGCTAGTGACTACCAACTGCCAAATCACTGAAAGATACATAAGTGTCAAGGAGCTGACACGCTCCTTGGTTTGCCCTAACAGTGAAAATCTGTGCACACAAAATTATGATAGTTGTTGTGATTAAAACATGGATGCATCCACAAATATAGTCATATTCCATATATGCATATGACTTTTTAGTCCTTCAGTATAACATTGTACAGTATCCCTCATTAAATTTGTGTTAATATATAAGATTAGAAACCAGAAGGTCCCACAAATTTCATTGAATTCAAATTCATCTTCATAGATGAGCTATTCATCTATGGAGACATTCTTTTGACTTCATCAATACAGAGAAATATAGCATGCCAAGGTAAATCTGTGAAGCAAAGCTTGGGGGTCTAGAGAGATAGAGAAGCAGTTAACAGTCATGTCTTCAGAGATATTTGGGACAGGTGATACTAAACATCACCAAATATACAAATTGTTATCAGTTCTCATTCAATATTAGTTTTTTACAAGTTTCTATTTTACATAAAATACTTCTACATATGAAATTTGACTTTGAAAAGTGAAGATATTCTTGACATAGTAAAGTACACTAAAGAAGCATAGTTTGCTTAATGCTCTGGTAAGACTGAATTGGTTGCTCTTATGTTTTGTATATTTAGCTTATAAAAGTTATGACATCTACTTTATAGGATAATCAGAATTTCCTATTTGTGCTCTCATTAACTATAAGAGCCATTAAGTCAGATTATGCTATTCTTATATGGATAGTACTTCCCAAGAGTTTAAGAATCTTATTTTAAATGGTTGCAGAACCATAAGCACTGTCTTCTGAGAAACTACCGTATTATACTTCTCATGTAACTATCCCTATCAGGTTGGGTGACAGAATACCTTTTGAGGGAGCAGATGAACCTGATCAAGTTTCATTAAAAGAAGACATTGACATCTTGCAAAATGCATTAGCTGAAAATGACACACCTTATTATGACGTATCCAGGTGAGTTTGTTTTTATAAAACTAACCAGTGAGTTTTATTTTAAAAAGTATATTTTAGAATTATAAATGTGCTAGTTTTACCTTACCATGAAGCTATTCCTATAGCAAAACACTAGAGGTTTCCATGTGTCATGGCTTCATTCATCCTGATTTCTTGCAGCTCTTACAGATGTACATGATTTTCATACAGAAAGGTTGTAACAAGCCAGTATGAACACATCATTCACTTCCATTCTGTTGTACATAATTTCAGCATCACAGATTGTACCAATTCTGATAAAACTACAGCATTTAGAATTCCAATGATGGAAGAATTGCAAAGAATTTAATCTCTATATAAAGAAAATGTATCTGATAGTTAGAGTTGTTCATTCACAGAGCTGCTTGTCTAAAGCAGCATTTCAAGTGCAGACCAAGTAGCTCTATAGTACTTGGTATAGACAAAGTATAAAAGGTTCTTCATTTGAAAGAGAAAAGGTGGGATGATAGGCCTTAATGTCTTCTCATCTTATAGAGATTTCATTTATAAATACTTTGGGGAAAAAAAAGGTGTACTGGGGTTTATGAACTTGCCAAAATCAGGATATTTTCCCATTGTGTATGTCTTTATTCAGTGGGGCAGACATAAAGCACCATGTACAAATAGCAGCTAATTTAAATAGATCATATTTTTACACCAATATTTCTTAGAAAAAATAGTTATAAAGATTCTACCATGGAGAAATATTGAAATATGCTTCTAGAAATGCCTATTTCTTTAATTCTTCGGTGTCTTAAGCTAAAATATACAGTATATCTTGATATAAGTGACTAGAATCTCTCTTTTGTTAGGTGTTAAGGTATCTCCTTTTGAATTTGAGTTTTATTGAGAAGTTTTTATAATAAATCCATAATATTTTTATTATTCAATGAGCCACAATGTTCTAGAAAACCATTTGCAAAATAATAGCTATTTTTTCTTCTTTGTTTTAGAAATACCAGGCATGCTGATGGAGTTTTCACCAGTGACTTTAGTAAACTCTTGGGTCAACTTTCTGCCAAAAAGTACCTTGAGTCTCTTATGGGAAAGCGTGTTAGGTAAAGAGAATGTATTATTTTTATAAAATGTGTTATTATTATTCAATCTGAATATTGTATTTTTACTCTTGACAAGTTGTTTACCTTGTTCAGAATTGAAAACTCATTGATAATGTTTAATTTAGTTAACTTGTATTCTTCAAAAATATCTATCAAGCCCATAGATTAAGACTTTTTAGTAATATCATACTCATTAACTGCAGACATGCAATTTTCTCAGGTAGTAATCATTTACTAATCTGCAATCAAATTGAACAAGACTCAATAAAACAATCAAGAAGGGATAGTATAGACTGAAGTAAATTTTAAAGTCAACCATAGTATTTTCTTTTTACTTCCTGCTCAAACTCAATGGAGAATTCCAAATGGCCAACAGTCAAATATGTAGATAACGCTGCTCAGGGTAGCATAGCTTCCAAAGAAGTAATTATGTTTTAAAATAAATTTTCTCCAAATGGCAGAACACAACTTCAGCTATTCCCAAATTTCATTTTTGGATGAATTATCTGCTCAGTTGTTCAGAATGTATCATAAAACTGTCTCAGATTGTGCCAAAATATGGCAGATGTTCCTTGCTTCTCCTTTATCCTTAGGTTTAGTTGTGTTTTTCTTTTAGTCTTTTTATGATAGAAAATTAGTTGGGTGTTGGAATTCCTTTTTGTGTGGCTCCAAGAAACTTGGAACATGTGTGTATTTACCATTTATTGTGAAAACTCTTTGATTTCCTTTTCCTCACATTTCTTAGCAGTAACATCTCGGAAGATCCTGTACCAGTCAAACGTCACTCAGATGCAGTCTTCACAGACAACTATACCCGCCTTAGAAAACAAATGGCTGTAAAGAAATACTTGAACTCAATTCTGAATGGAAAGAGGAGGTAAAGAAAAAGATAACTTGCTAAAATAAGAAATTATGACTGACTTTCAAAATATAAGCTACACGTGAAGACCTCTCTGTCTCACTGTCTATACTATGTGAAGTGGTGATTCTCAACCTTGGCTGACATTAAACTACTCTGCAGAATTTAAAAAATACTGATATCTGGGCCTTCCCCAAAACTAATTGCCAGGAAGTCAGTGTCTTCGGTGGTGTCGCCCTAGACAGTCATTTCTTTTAAGAGAGCCCCAGTAGACTTTACTATGCTTCTGGCATTAAAAATAATAATTATAGAGACATGTAGTCTGAATCTAGGAGCAAGTTTCATCAACAGTGATGATTTTAAAAACATGCAAAGCATAGTCAATTGCAATTTGGTAACATGTGGAACTCACTTCATGTGCATGTTCAATACTCTTATTTAATCAAATTAAACCATTAGGTATTTTGTATATTTACATTCTGTAAAATCTGTATCTCTCTATGGTGTGTAAATATTGGACACAATACATAAATAATGTAGTGTTCTCTCCTTTTATTCCAATTGTTTTTGTTTAAATGATGAGTCTTAAGAATAATTCTGTTTTGATACGAACCGACAATATGACCCTCTTTGCCCACTAGATAATAATTCTGTAAGAATAATTTTAGAGACTCTAAGATGGAGGAATAATTCATAGGTACTAAAAACCTCAAAGATAATTCTTTAGCCCCAATACACTTTCAGAGCACAGAGAACAGCATAGTCATTATGTCATAATAGTTTCTTACGAACCTTTCTCATTTGAGAGCCTTAACATGCAGTTTTTTTTTCTGGTCTGTAGCAGTGAAGGAGAATCTCCTGACTTTCCAGAAGAGTTAGAAAAATGATTTTTAAAAGCCCGTTGGAGCAAAGCTGATGACAACTACCCAGTGGTGGGTATATTTGTGCATTCCTTCTGTATTCTCATGTCAGTCCCTGATTATATAAGTAGCTAAGAGTCACTTAGTAAGAAACATTTTGGGATTAAACAGTTCCTCATTATGAAACCTCATCCAAGAAAGACACTTCTACAGCAGTGGACCCCAACAAGTAAACAGCTTAAAATGATTCGTGCAATTATTTGATCATATGAAAGATAGCACTCAAAATAAGCAAATGTCTTGAGATCTGAATAGTGTTCCTGGCTTACTCAGGGTTATTTCTATTTTTGTATCAAGATTAAAAAACAGAGGAGGCTAACTCACACTTATAAGAAAAATGGGCTTTCCTTTTTAGAATCAACTCATGCTGCTTTTATTCATTGAGGGTTTAGTTGACTGCCAGCACCTCACCTAATTAAGTACAGGGAAATACCACCAAATTACAGCATGTCTCGTTATTATGAAAATACCAAGGCATTCGGGTTCTAACTATGTTCCTCAAAACATAGCAAACTTCATACAGCAAAAGTAAAATTTAGCTTGTTTTACCTATAAGTTTATTTTACCTGTATGATTCTATTATTGCATTCTCTGTAAACATTTTTTGAGCAGAAAAAACATGGATAGAATTTTTTTTATGAAGTAATAAGTTTGCTATCAAAATAGATTTTATATAAATGTGAGTTCAAGACATTCTTTCCTGAGTTATGTTACATTAATATTTACCTTAGCTCATAAAAATCTGTAATATATGGCAAGTGCTTAAAGACGTTTTATGCTGTCACCATATCAAAGGTTAGCAGATTTTAAAGGACTATGGAGTCAAATATGTTTGCTTTCTGGGCCATCTAGTTTCTGTTATAATGACTTAACTCTGCTATTGTAGCACAAATGCAGCCACAGTTAGATGTAAAACAAATAGGAGTGGTTGTAAACAACACTCTATTCATAAAACCTGAAGGTGAGCCAGATTCCAGTCCACACCTAGGTTAAGGAGATTAAACTCACCCATGCTCAAAATAAAGTCAATTCATGGTCTTACCTCAAGGTCTTTCCTGATGGGGTTATCTAGGCTTTCAAGAGTCATCAAGTGTGGACAGGGTGTCTGGGAAGATGCCTGCCTAATTGACTGCTTTTTCCCACTAATTACCCTTAAATTTCTAAGAGAAACGCAGAGCAGGAGTGTGGCCCACAGCAACTCTTTATCTTTTACAGACGTTTCAGAGAAATAAGTCCCTTTGCTCAAAGAAGAAAGTTAATTACATTTAGCTTTTTTGAAAGAGTGCTTATAAGAAGGCTTCTTCATCAAATTAAGAAACACAGTAGGCACTAAAATGTAAAGGAGACCTGATTAATCATACTGTGTTTCGTAAATGGTACGATCATTTATGAGATTCCATCCTCCATTCTTTTTTGTTATTTGAATGGGTGGCTTTGGACAAATTCTTTGAAGAGGAAATCATGTGGGTCATCCACGTGTGAAAATTACAAGTGAATCATTATTAATGGTTAGTTAGATGTCTGTTCACATTCCAGTTCCTGTCTGATAATCAGTCCTCTAGAAGCTGCTCTCTTGATATGTTTCAGGACAGGGTTTCCTGCCCCAGGTTGTTAACAAGGGACAAAGAGAAATGAGTGTTTATCAGATAAGTAAATCAGTATATGAAACTAAGATGCTAGAAATAAAATATATTTTTATGCCTAAAGCAACAATTCTTTCTTTTTCAGAATTCTTGAAGGAAAACGACACACAAAGTAATTAAATTTTGAGTTCTACATAAGTAATTCAAGAAAACAACTTCAGTATCCAAACCAAATAAAATATATTGTGTTGTGAATGTTGTGATGTATTCTAGCTAATGTAATAACCGTGATGTTTACATTGTAAATATTATTTGAGAGTTCTAAATTTTGTCTTTAACTCATAAAAAGCCTGCAATTTCATATGCTGTATATCCTTTCTAACACAAATATATTTAGTGATAAGTAAATTCTAGGTTAATTCCAATTATATGAGACTCTTTGGGAAGAGTAGTAATAGAGCAAAATTGATATGTTTATTTATAGAGTGTACTTAACTATTCAGGAGAGTAGAACAGATAATCAGTGTGTCTAAATTTGAATGTTAAGCAGATGGAATGCTGTGTTAAACAAACCTCAGAATGTCTAAGATAATAACAATGAAGATAAAAAGACATTCTTCCAAAAAGATTTTCAGAAAATATTATGTGTTTCCATATTTTATAGACTATTTTGTTTTTAATGGTATTTTAAAATCTCAAATTTGGACTGCTAATCACCAAAGGCTCTCTCCTGATAGTCAGTTAAGGAAAACGACCCCTGCTTCTGGCATCGAACCTTCCCTTTCTGCTTGTGTTAAGTACGTGTAAAATGTAAAGTGAATGAAACACTCAGTTGTTCAATAATAAATATTTTTGCCATAATTACTCGGCATATTGCTTTGGTCATATGAGCTTCCTTTGGTGAAAGTACATTTGGAGACACAATTATTTTTCCAAAATAATTTCAAGAAATCAAATAGAGAAAATAAAGACCTTTGATTATCATTGCAGATTTTTTTTTTGCCTGATTCTTTTCTATGATCCAACAGTAACTTATTTTAGCTCTGAATTTCTAAGTACTAGATGGCTTTTATAGTATTTGATTGTGTGCAAGTTCTAAAATAATGGTGGGTTAAATAAAAGAGAAATTTCTCTCTTACATAAGAAGTAAGATGTCAAGAGTTATTATGATGGTCCTGCTCAGCAAAACCCTCAATAACATACACTTGGTTCAGCTCATCCCTTATCTCTAAGGTATGGAACTTTTCTTCATGATCCAAAATTACAGCTAGCATTCCAGCCATCATATATGCATTGCAGGCAACGGGCTGTAGGAAGGGGCACAGAGAAAAAAAAAAAGGAAGCAAATAGTTCATGCAGGTTCTCTTTGAACTGATATTCTGATATCCCCTTGACTAGAACATAGTCTTATGGAGGCAGTCATTTGCAAGAGAGATGGGGAAATGTAATATGTTTTCTTTGTTTTGTTTTGGTTTTCTGGATGATCATGTACTCAACTTAAAACTAAGACTCTATGAAAATAAAACAAGGAAAGAATGGATTTATGCAGGGATTTTTAAAAAATCTAAGCTTGGATCTTAAATTCACCCCCAAAAAGGCTGAAAGAAATAATAAAGAGAGTGAGAGTCAGACCCTAACCATTAATGAAGAAGCATTATCCCCAAAAGGCAAAGTTTTGCTTGGTTTCGTTTGCTACAATTAGGAAAAATGGCTACATCAGGAAGAACTAGTCTGGAACTACCAGTCATTGCAAAGTAGTTTTCACAAATTGAAGTAAATTGAGCTTCTTGTATCTCTTGTTCTTATCTGATTCTTCAAATTATTAAATATTTATTAAGTGATGTTTTTATGAGAAGCCCTACAGTGAAAACAGACAATTTCTAAGAGTCAAGTATACATAAGAAGCTTGTAAAGGTGAAGTGGAGCCATAAATTGAATGCAAAACTAAAGAGTTTTAATTTTGTTTTATTAGCATGAACCTTTTAAATGTATTCTTTATTGCTTCAGTAAATTCCCTGAGGAAATATTCACTGAATGACTATGATGTGCTATGTAGCTATCTGAGAGAGTATTCTGGGCAGAGAGAATGATCCATGCAAATGAGGGAACAGTCCTGGCATATCTGGACAGCAAGGAAGCCCATGTGGCTGGAGCAGAGTGAGCTGGACAGGAACTGAGTAGGAGAGAAGGTCAAAGAAGTTACTAAGGACTGGACCTTGTAGGGCCTCATGGGCCACTGTGAGTGTTTGTGAAGTGAGATGAGATAATGCAGAATTCTGGACAGAGGTGTGATGCTATCTGAATTGCATTTTAATAGGATCTTTCTGGATACTCTATTGGGGATAGAATAAAGAAGTGCTAAGGGTGGAGGCAGGGAGACAAACCAGGGGTGAAGTGCTGTAAATCAGGTGGCAGATGATGGTGCCACTGAGGGAGAAGCGCTGAGGTATTGAGAAGGGGTATCTGAATATATCTTGAAAGTAGAATCAGGTTTTATGTGAATAGATTGAAGACAAGAAGGAGGAGAGGACATGGTGGGTCATGCCTGTAATCCCAGCACTTTGGGAGGCCAAGGCAGAAGGATTGCTTGAGGTCAGGAGTTGAAGAAGGAGGAAAGTTAAGAATGATTTTCAGGGTGAATCACCTGAGGCAACTTGAAGGATGGAGTTGCTAATGACAGAAAAGGCAGAGGAGTGAGATTTCAGGGAAAGGTGAGCTTAGTTTGAATACACTAAGGTGGATGTTGAGTAGGGAGTTGGAGATGTCATGAAGAGGAGATGCTGGGCTGCAGATAGATAAGTGGGAGACCTTGCATATAGATGGGATTTAGAAACACAAGGCTGGATGAGATCAGCAAGAGACCAAATGTTGCTAAAACACAAAACACAGCACAAGCAGAAACCTCAGCACATAATCCTTGGGTGTTTTTATTTCTAGTGCCACTGTAAGAGGGCATTACAGACCAGGTGTCTCAAACACAGAAATCTGTTGTCTCACAGTTCTGTAGACAAAAAGTGCTAGAGCAAGGTGTTGACAGGCAGGCTCTTTCTAGGAGATGTGAGGAAGAATCTGATCTATGTCTTTCCACTGGCTTCAGGTGGTTTGCAGGCAACCTTTGGCTGGTAGAAGCATCACTTCTAAAATCTTTGTCTTGATCTTCATGTAGTGTTCTCCCTGACATGCACATGTCTCCAAATAGCCACAATGTCCTTATATAAGAACATCAGTCATACTGGACTAGGGCAAATGCTTATAATCTCATTTTAAGTTGATTTCCTCTGTAGAAACCCTATCTGCAAATAAGGCCACATTCTGAAGGACTAGGGTTAAAGACTTTCACATATGAATTTTTGGGGACACAATTCAACCTATAATTCTGGGCCATGCCAACATTAAGAGTTTGGAGTTTTGAGGAACAAATGGGTTAAACATGGATTGGAAGAAGAAACTATTGAAATAGGAGAAAAATTGGAGACCATGTCACCTGGAAAACAAGTTAAGAAGATCTTTCAAGGAAGAGGGTGTCTTATTAACAGAGTTGAATCCTGCTGCAATGTAAATTAAGATTCATTTATTTATTTCTTCTGCAAGTATTTATAAGGAACTTACTATATACCCAACACCATTTTAGTCTCTGATGATATAGCAGTGAATAACACAGACCAAAATTCTTGCCCTCATGGAGTTTACATTCTTTGATTTGAAACAAATAAAATAGTTAAGTAAAATAGATATTATTTTAGAAAGTGATAAATATAAAGGAGACAAATTATTAACTCATAGCTACACATGGTTTGGGAGGCCTCACAATCATGGCAGAGAGCAAGGAGGAGCAAGTCATGTTTTACAAGGATGGCAGCTGGCAAAAAGAGAGCTTGCACAGGGAAACTCCCCCTTATAAAACCAATAGATCTCATGAGACTTATTCACTATCACATGAATAGCACAAGAAAGACCCATCCCCATGATTCAATTACCCCCACTGGGTCCCTCCCACAACACTTGGGAATTGTGGGAGCTACAGTTCAAGATGAAACTTGAATGGGGACACAACTAAACCATATAAGAAGGGGTCAAGTAATTTGGTTTTATGTGGGAGAAATATCAAAAGCATGTTTGCATGCTGAAAAGAAAGATGTAAGAAAGGGAAAATTGGTGATGCAGAAGGTAAAGTGGGGTTATACTTCAGTAATATCCTTGAGAAGAGAGTGGAATTGGGTGATTCAAAAATAGAGGAGTTGACCTTTGCTTGGCACAAGCTCTCTTCAACCACAGTAACAGGCAGAGTGATTGGGTCCAAGGTGGATGAATGAAAGGATGAAGTGATAGAAGTTTATGGAATGCCTCATCGGATTGCACCTATTTTCTCAGAGAAATAGCTGAGAGTAAGTATAAATGAGGAGATGTGAGGAAAGTAAAAAAAAATATGAAAGAGTCTTCTGGATGAGTGGGAGAGTAAACAACCAGAAAAATATGTTTCTTATACTTAGAGTTTGGTGATGACTGAGGTAACTTAGAAAAATGGGTCAAATTAAGTAGTTCAAGATTATTTTTTATTATTTTAAAAGTTTAATGAAAACTAGGAACCTTTTTCCAGAAATATGTATGTGTATATATATACACACACACAGAGTATGTTCACCAAATCTTACATATCCATGTATGAAATTTCACAGTGTTCAATGGCTGCTTTTTAAGATCCCTACTACAGAGCCATGAAATGGCTGGAATTATGTGGAGACCATCCTACAGCTTGGGAAAATGGTATGTAGACCACTAAATTTATCACGGGTGACATAATAAAGATCTGGATTTAGAATGGTGGAAGTGAGAAAGAAAAGAACTTGTGTCTAGCACCCATTGCTTTAGGGAAGGTTCCATCAGCGAACCACTGAAAGAAAATGCTTCTTGGCACATGAGTTTAATTCCAGGAAGAGAGGAAATGTCAAAGCCTGGATTTGCTATGTAGTCCTGAATTGACTAAGATGATTACAAAATTGACAGAAATTATTTTTTCAGTATATGTTTTTCAGTTTAAGGGCTGCTTGGGATACAAATTAATTTCAGTTATAAAAATTCAGTCATATTCCTGAATACGAGTTTGAAGTGAGACTAAGGTTAACGCCCTCTAAAATTACATTAGAAATCATTTTCTATAGATCTGAAAATAATAATTCTATCTTTTCCTTTTCTTTCAGTAGATACACACAAAATCTACCCAAAAAAAAGGAGAGACATAATATTCCACGAATTTCTCAGGTTTAATATGGTACGTTAAGATTGTGAACATGTCTCCCCTTCCTTGCCAAAGAAATATCGTCCTGTACAGTCTACATAAGAAAAAGGAAGCCATGAATGGTCAAGAGATTGCAATACATTTCTGGGGAAAGACGGGCAGTGGATTGAAGAGTGGATCCAGGAAATTGATAAGAAAACTTCAGTGTTGAACTAATGTGGACAGTTTGTAGCAGATTAACTGTCCTATAGAAAAGCTCAAATTTGAGAAATACAAGTGGATATTTCTTCCTGATATTTCTGGGAGAATGTATACATTTTCACAAGTCCTGAATCCCAAGAGAAACCAGTAGCAAAATCAGGAATGCAAGAATAAAAGCTAAAAAAAAACACTACTCGTTTGGAGGAATCTTATTGTGTTGATTTGCTAAGGTTGCCATAACAAAGAATTACTGAATGGGGTGCTTAAATAACAGAAATATGTTCTCTTACAAGGAGGCTAGAAGTCTAAGATCAAGGTGGCAGCAGGATTGGTTTCTTGTGAGGCCTCTCTCCTGGGCCTGTGTCTTCACATGGTCCCCTCTCCACGTACATCTGTTCCCAAATTTCCTCTCCTTGTAAAGACATTAGTCATACTGAATTAGTGTGCTCACCATAATGACCTAATTTTAATTTAATTACTTCTTTAAAGACCCTATCTCCAAATACATCCACATTTTATAGTCACATTCTGTAAGATTAGGTCTTTAATATATGA